CTGGTACGGCACAGCCGGCGTGGTTTGGACTAAGGTTCATTTGTCCATAACTTCTCCCTTCTAACAAACTTGGGGTGCCCCTTGGGGCCCAACCCAAGTGTTGTAGGTTAGAGCTTTTAAATTCAACAAAACTCTCTTAAAGTTTCAATGTGGACAAACCTCACAAGGAAACCCACATTAAACTTTAAATGTCCATTCCACGAACCCGAAAACGACGTCATGTTCCCATTCACTCATAAATGGTTTTGACGAACCGTCTTCACCGTATGACTTGCCACGCGGCAAGGAACACTTCACCTCTTCGGACCTGCCCAAAAGACGTTCGGGGCCCACTCAATTTGGGCTTAAAGTTAGCCCAAAAAGCTATATAAAACCAATTTTTCAATAATGAGAGACAGCGCTATAGTGGTCTTGTTGGAAGCGAATCTAACGAACTGTACAATGGTGGGGCTGTAGTGCATGACAATGTTGATGCCAACGAACTGTTGAGCTACTTGGACAGTGATAGATGAAGATTGAGCTTATATATATATATATATATTCTAGGGCATGTGTGTATTTATAGAAGGACAAGGGACCAACAGATGCAACGGTAATAACAGCTCCAGTAGGGCTTTTGAGAGAGAGTTTCTGTTGGCGGAGGTGACAATATCTTCGTGATTCGGTGAAATCGTCCATGGATAAGAATGCTTTGAGCTTCGCTTGACGAATGAGAGAGAATTGGAGAAACGACAATGATAATGAACTTCGGCGACAGAGATGGAGTTTGTTAGAGAGAGAAAAGCAAAGAGAGAGGAAAAGAGGGAGAGACAGTTTGATTTGAAAAGATGGGTGTCGGGGTCGAGAAACTTGATACGTCATAAAATAATATTATGGGCCTCTGTCATTATTAAAAATGAAAAAAGGACGTTAGGCTAATTTTTCAAACATGAAATAAAAAAAATTTTTGTTTAAAGAAAATAAAAGTTAACCAACAAAAAATTCAAATTGGATTTTATTTTTTACATTTTTCTTATTATAAAAATAGTATATAAATATAGAAATTGAGAGAATTAATTACAAATAAGTGAAAATTGTATTCAATGTAGCTAATTGTAATTGTTTTTTAGGACATTAGAGGCAAAGGTCTAATTTTGAAACCGTTTAGGCAATAGTCTTAAACTCTTGAACCATCTGTAGTGCACCAAAACAATGTCATTTTGGTGTCATAAAAAAATAAAAATTGTGAGGATATATTTTCTGAGTACCAACACGTGGCAAGGTGACGCCGACGTGTCACGCCAAGGGTCACGTGTCCTGGTCGTGATGCCGGAGGTGATCTCGGCAAGGCCGGAGTTATCTCCGAAGATATCGGAAACCAGTAAGCGGATAAGGGACAAGAGTCCTAAAATAAAAGAGGGAACTCAACTTGGATATGGACAAGAGTCCTAGATTGGGAGAAGACTTCAGTTTGGGTAAAGATAAGACTCTTAGAGAGTTTATCCTAATCCCACTGGGAGTCCCAGATTAGCAGTAATCCTAAGTCCATTAGGCCAGGCTCCTTTTGGGACTAGGATTGTATTGGCTATAAAAGAGAGGCACCCCCATGGGTCTAAGTATGCTTTTGATACTCAAGCTTGTGAGTTTAGTACTTGATTTATCTTTAAGAGATATACTGACTTGATCGTCGGAGTGCCCCCGGGTGGTCGAAACCACCGCGGGATTCTTATATTTCTGTTGCAGGTCCGTCAGGTGCCATCTATTCTGCCAGTGCTCTCCAGCTGGTTACTAAGCGGGCAGTGTGGTCGGAAAATCCACCACACAAAAATAATTTATATAAAATAATTTTTTTACATATAATGATATGACTCATTGTGAACCATTTACTTCAAAATAAAAAACTATTAATATGTATTTATTTATAATAATGGTATTATTATATAATTCTGGTAGAATTTTATATATAATAAAAATCTTCAAAAAATAACAACAAAGGGAAAAGTAGAGGATCTAGCAACTTCCCCGCCTGTTTGCCTACCTATAATTAGTTTTGAAACCATTTTCCAACCCTCTTTGTCACCCACCTTCAACTTCTTTCGTTCTGATTTTCATAAGATAGTTGGTAGAAAATTCTACCTTTTTATTTTTTTATATTTTAATATTTTTAATAAATTTTTTAATATTTTAAGTAATTTTTTTTAAAATTTTTAGACAAACCTAACATAAATACTCTTAAAAAGTATAATATTTGGGAATTTTTTTTAAAAAATACACTAAATACCAAAAAATATAAAAAAACGTATGAAATTCAGTATATTTTTCATATTTTTGTATATTTATTAATTTTTAAAAATATTTTTTCATAAATATTTTACTATTTAAATATATCTAAGTAAGGTACATCTAAAAAAGTAAAAAAAAAAATTACTTAAAATTTTAAAAATATTCACTAAAAACAAAAAAATCCAAAAATTTTCAAAAAATTGAATTTAAAAAACTCAAACCAAACATACTTATTCTTTTTTTTAGAGAGAGAAACATTGTTTACAGAGAAAAAGTAAATAGCAGAGGTTTGGGAGCCGAATCGAATGTCTTGATTCTTAGCGCTCGAGCCATCGCAAACAGAATCAATCAAGTATAGATCTCCATTCTCTTCTTTCTTCTTCTTATTCTTCCTCTTTTTTGCCATTGAAGATGAGAATGGAAAAGAAGAAAAAGAAAAAAGAAAGAAGAAAAGGAAATAGTGGGTTGGTTGGAACGGGGAGGTATTGGAGCTTGCCTTCCTATTTTTTTTTTGGTACACCAAACAATGTGATTTTGGTGCATTACAATCCATCTATTACAAATGATCGAAATTATTCTTTTTGAGCTATACCTACAAAAATAACTTAAAAAAGAAAAAAGTTAAGGATCGTGAAATTTTTTTTATGAAAATATTCATGAAAGAGTTATAATTTTTGGATTACCTTGATTAGTGTGTGGTGCTTTATTCTAAGTGTAATCCAAGAGTCACAAAACTTTCATGATTATTTTCATGAAAAGTTTTTCATGATACCTAACATTGCTTTTTAAAAAACTATCTTATCTTTACTTATTTATTCACATGTCATTAATTTATTTACCGTTGTAGTTGGCCACTAACAACTTTTTGATCGATTAACAGCGATGGTCAATAATGATTGACGGCAATGTTTGAGAATAAAAAGAAATTACAAATAAAAAAAGTGTAAGGATAACGGTTACAAATGTTTTTTTAACCTAATAAATAAATAAATAAATAAATTATCCTTTTTAACTTCAAAAAATTAGACGTTATCCTTGATATCCCAAACTTGGAAATGCTGTTGTGAACAAATCACAACAGCCTCCTATGAAGGCCTTTCTTGAGTTTTTTTTTTGATAATTTGAATCGTTCATATTGTAAAGTTAGTTGAGTATATTATCTATGCCAAAATCTGTAACCCCATGATCAATACTAATTATTTTAAAAAAATTATAAAGATGAAATTAATCGTTTATTTTTTAAAAAACAAATATGCTCTTATTATAGAGTTTAGATGTCTAATCAATTTGATGTTTTATATAGATGATCTAATCAACGAATCATACAATATAAATGATTCAAATTATCAACAACAAAAAAAAAATAAATTCAAGAACAACCTCCACTGAAACACCATAGGAAGTTGCTGTGAGTTGCTCACGGTAACATCCTCAATTCTTCATATTCCACATGCTTACTTGTCTAGATTTATCACCAATTTTTTTTATTAATTGATAATTATTTTTCATATTTCCAATTTACATATATATATATATATATATATTACCATTTTCACTAAGACCACCCTAATATGCATCTAATATTTTATTAAATTTAAATTTAATGAAAAATAATAACTATTTAACCTCTAATCGTTTCATCAAACTCATATCAAATGAAAGGAGACTTTTATCTTTAATTGAATTTAAATTATTATTGTTGAGCCGAACATCCTGTTGGGTGTCCATCCAATAACAACTTTGATAATTTTTTTGTTTATATTCAGACGATATGTACTTGGACAACGGAAGATGTGAACAAATTTGATGAAAATTTTAATTTTAATTTTAATATTAAAATAAATGGTATCAAATCAAATTTTTCATTAAATTTTTACACAAATTTAATAAAATTTTTGATCCATGTGGATTTATTTGATGAGGAAATAAATAGTTTGAAAATAAATTATCATTTTTGATGGAAGACCTGAATAAAATTAACATATGAACAATATCACATAAAATTTTAGAATTACTAAATAATTGTTCACTATTTTGATGTGTAGACCCACAACTTTCCTCATAGACAAGTCTCATTATTTGGAGAGAAGCCGGCCACAGAAAAATTAGTTAGTGGTAAGCATGAATGAGAGGAAGAACAGGCTGAGATTATTAGAATATATCTCATTTGCTCATAAATTCATTTGGGTCAATCCACCATTTTTTTTTATAATATTTTTTTAAAATAAAAATAAAAACAGTACTTAGGCCATTTTCCATTACAATTTACAACAAATAAAAACTTTTAGGATTTAAAATTTTAAGAAAATTTAAAGTTAAGATTTATTTATAGTGTAATGTCACAATAAGAAGTTTAAATATATACTATCTAATTTGAAAATTCAAGTATTTTTTTAAAATTATTTTTATGATTTTATACCACCTTCAATGTATCATCTTATGCGTTAACCCATTATTGATATAACGGATCCTACAACTTATATTTTTGTCAAATGATATACTAAAAATAATATAAATGTGACATTAAAAATAATAAATGTGACATTACTCTTTATTTTTTAGCATATGTAACCCAATAGAATAGAAATAGTTAGGTGAAAGTGGTAGACCAGTTTTGATCTTAGGTCATGGTGTCCCAGGTTCAAAGGTTGGTTGGTATGCATATGCTTCAAAATCACAATTGGCCAAGAAATTCATCCCACCACGTACGTTATCATATCAACCTTCACATTTCTATCTATCTAACCAGACATAATGGTGGGCACATCTCCCAACCTTCAAGCAAACTTAAGCCAAGTTTTCATAGTGGAAAGCTCATAAAATCTAAGACAAGCTCAAGGCCAAACACGCAGAGAGAGAAACACAAACTGATCATCCAAGAATGGGAAAGTCCCGGAATTGGTTTGGGATTGTTCGGAAAAAGCTTTTTGGATCGTTGTCTCCTCAAGAAACCATCATTGTCTTCCACACAAACAACACCAGCACAAGCTTATTCACTGAAGAAACTAGAACTCCTAGAGCAGTAGCAGATAACAATGAAGACACCAAATCAGAAGTTGGCAATGATGTGGCCTTGTCTAAAGAGGACATTGCAGCCACCAAGATCCAAGCATTTTTCAGGGGTCATCTTGTACTATTCTTCTCACTAATTTATCCATCAACACTACTTCCCGCTTACACTTTCGCCATAAATTTTTTTTAATGGAAAAACTTTTTTACAAATATATATATATATATATATATTTGTTGTTTCATAAATAATATTTTCTTATGTTGGATTGTTTTCTTAGGTTATGTTTGGCATGAGTTTTTTTTACTATTTTAGTCACAAAAAGACAAAATGAATTAAAAAATTAATAAAACAAAATGTCATATTTAAACCATAATCATTTTATATTTTCTCTCACAAAAGTCAAAAAAATAAAAAACTCATCTCAAATGAGATTTTTTAACCTAGATTAAAATAGCAAAAAAGTTAAAAAATTAACTCACATCCCAAATGGAAGCTTAATACTAAAGTACTAATAATTGTTTTAGTGGAGTGGTGAGGTGGCAGAGGTTGTGGAGGAGAGGGTGGTGGTGGTTGAGGCGGTGATGACTCGGGAGTGCAGTGGCATTGGTATGATTCAAATTCAAAAAATTTATTATAATTTTAAAAATAGAAAATATTTTTCACTTAAATAAATTTGTTTTGTTTTGTTAATTATGTAAAATATTTTTCTTTGACTTTCATTTTTATTGTACTGACTAAAAAATATAAAAAAGAAATATTTGTCATCCAAACAAACATAATGTTAATTTCTATTGGTTTATTAGCTACTAAGCTTAATATATTTCTTATAATTTTTGAATTATATGGAAATTGATAGGCAAGAAGGGCATTTCGGGGATTGAAGAGCCTGGTGAAGCTACAAGCAGTGGTACGAGGGGTGTGCGTGAGAAGACAGGCTCGTATAGCCTTACATTGCATGCATGCACTTGCTCGCTTGCAGATCACAGTCCGAGCACGCCAACTCCTCACTGGATCAAACTCATAATTCTTGGTTCATAATTTCAAAAACAACTTTCTATTTTGTAAATCATTTTTTTCTTGGGAAAACCCACAATGTGCTTCCTAATTCCTCATTATGTATATGCTTCTATTGCTATTGATACTCCTATTGAAGTAAATGAAGTTTTGTTTGATCGAATTTGGTCCTTTCTTCATCGTTTGATCTTCTATTTATAAGTAAGCTTTTCAACTTTCAAAATAACAATCCCCGTCTCCCATCGAGACATTTTTGTATGTTGGGAGGGTCCAATGTAGGACTGTTAAGTGGTACCTTTCATCAATTATAAATACATATATCTTTTATTATCTTCCAAACATCCAACATAATTGTAATAGATCTTGTTGTCAAATCCAATCACTATTAAAAAAAAAAAGTACCGTGTAACATCTATCCTACTGACACCCAAAAATTTCTCTGATCGAGAAATTCCTTTAGTTAGCTTGTATTCCATAAATTCCCTCTTCAAATTTTATTTGAATTTGAAATCACTATGGTTGCATGTGTAATCATATTTAACTGTTCCGTAGGCAGTACTCAACCTTAATTGATAAGTGTCCGGTGTTAATTAATTCCTCTTCATGTCATTGTCTTTAGTAGAGAATTTGTAACCATCAAGCTTCTTCTAAATATACTTGCATGCTTCCTATGCGTTGGCAAACACTCATCTTAAAAATAGCTTGTCGTGTGTATTCATCATTGGTTAGTTTAATTTGAGTACGAACAGAATTAATTATACTTTGGGATTTTAAAATATTTGTATTGTGCCATGTTAGTTCTCAACATTCTAATCCTAGCAATTTCATTCTCAAAATATTAAATATTTTAAAGCAATTCGCATAACCGATGTTATCAGTGTTCATTTTTGAGCCAAAAAAAAAATAAAAATAAAAATAAAATTCCTTAGCAAAAAACATGGTTAATTATACTTTTGATTACTAAAGTACACTCTTTTATGTCATTTAAGTTCTTTACATTTCAATTGTGCTAATTGGCGGAAGAGGAGGCTTTCTTTTATTGAAATATTGAGATTAGCCCTTTTTTTTAAAAAAATCGTAAATGTAATTAGCCCTTTCAAAAAAAAAGTTGTATAAAGTCTTGACTTTTTTATTTTTATTTTTAAGATGGAGAAGTCTTGACTTTGACTCATCTGAAGTTGTTGGCATGTAAATTTGCCTGAAACATGTGGGCTCGCAAGAGCCCAGCCTAGGCCTGGGTTACATTAGGTCAGGGCCTAGTAAGAGCTCTTTGAAGTCCATCTCGGCCCAAGGCCTAGCCCAATAGCAAAAGCTCAGTTAAATTTGAAAATTGAGGGCTCATTTGATTAGCAAAATTAATAATAAGAGAATTAATAATTTATGAGATTCGTGTAAGATTAATTATTTAGCGGGATTAGTGGGGAAAAAAAGCTCTTCTTATTCACGTTTGTTTTGCAATGGATATGGAAATATATAATTCTAATTATATATTTGTTTTCATTATTAGTTATAAAATCAAAAAATTTACTAATTTTATTGGATAGAATGTTTCATTAAAATATAATCCAGATAATAAAACTAACAATCAAATAATGGAATATAATTTCAATCATATGTTATAATACTGCTAAACAAATAGATCCTGAGATCCCTCCAAATCCCCTTTGCAGATGATGAGATGAGATGAGATGATCGGGCAACATCTCCATTAGTTGGTGAGTAAAAGTGTTGCAAAAGAATTTCTATTGTTAGTATATTATATGTATTATATATTAGTGCATAGTATGTTAGCTGTAAATTACCAAGCTTTAATCATGTTGTTTTCTTAGTGCTTTCTTAGTGTACACTTTCTGCTTTCTTTCGGCTCTCTTTGCCCCCTTTGTACACTCTCCCCTCTATAAAAGGAGAGTCATCTTCATATTATAAAGACACACTTAACATCAATCATAATACATCTCATTTATTCACTTTCTCTCTCTCCCTATCAATTTATCTTACATCTATTACCACATTACATATATCTTTTTAGTTTTTTTATATTTTATTTTAAATTACTATTTTGTTTTCCAAATAAATTATTGTTAAGGACAGAAGGTGCCCACCTTTTCTCTCACACTACAAAATCCTGGCCTCTACGACCGTGACCCAGCAGCCTCCCCCACCCTTGTCATACCCTCTCCACCCTTTCTTTACTCTTGCAACACCCTCCCCTCCACCTTTAAAACCCTAGGTGTTGCCTCACCACCTTGAAATCCTAGAAAAATTAGGAAAAGAAGGCAGGCAACTAAGAAGGGATAGGAATGGAAAAATAAAGGGAACTGAGGAGGAGACCAACGAGAAAGAAGGGTGTGATGAACAGAGAGAGGGAAACAAGATGGAGATGATTGGGGAAGGGTGAAAGTTGAAGAGCTAGGGAGGTGGTAGTAAAGGGAACGGCAATGCTGGGACAAAATTTTGTAACGATGAAGGTTAAGGTTTGAGATTAAAAGTAGGGATGTAATCAGTTTGGTATGGTCAGTATTTAGGTAAAAAATTACGCTGAATTAATAATGTCGGTTTTATTATTTTGAACACTGATACAGACCGTTTCTTCCATCAAACTGAACCAAGCCGAACTGATTGAAACGGTTTGGTTTGGTGCAGTTTAATCAGTTTATGATTTTTCAAAAACTTGAGCCACTTTTAAATATAATCATTAATCTATATAAAAATATTAAAAATTAGTTATTTGTCTACTATTTCAAACATATCTAATCCATCCATTTAATACATACTTTTCAATTCCTAAATTAACAAAAATAAAAACAAAAAAAAAAAGTTTAAAAATAATGAGTTAGAGTTACGATTATATATAATAAGAGTTTACAAACTTAGGTTATAAAGATGATAAGATTAATTAATTAAGGTTAATAATTTATTATACTTATTAATATTATTATATATATATATATATTATAAATACAATATATGTTGAAACGGTCGGGTTTCGGTTTAGATCGGTGTACAAAGTGCTTAAACCGATACCAAACCAAAAACTAAAAAAATTCAAATTTAAAAATCACACAAACCGATTCTTGTTAAAAAAACAGACCAAATATAACTGGTTTGGCCGATTTTTTCAGTTTTTCTCACACCCCTAGTCATTACTAAGACCTTGTTTGCGAATAGGTTTTTTTAGTAATTTTTTGGCTTTTTGACTAAAATATGATGTAACAAAATTAGTATGTTTGAGATGAATTTTTAATTTTTTAGGAAAAGAAGTGCAAAAAGTAAAGAGAAAATAGGGTTCCGTTTGGTGGAGTTTTCAAAATCTAGTTACACACTTATTTTTGAGTATGGTGTTTGTTTAGGGTATTCAAATTATAATTCTACACTCATTTCTCAAAACTCAATTCAAAACATAATCATTACTTTTCAAAATTCATAACCAAACACATAATTCAAAACTCTTTTCAAAACTCCTCGGATTTCGGTTTAGATCGGTGTACAAAGTGCTTAAACCGATACCAAACCAAAAACTAAAAAAATTCAAATTTAAAAATCGCACAAACCGATTCTTGTTAAAAAAACAGACCAAATATAACCGGTTTGGCCGATTTTTTCAGTTTTTCTCTTTTTCTCACACCCCTAGTCATTACTAAGACCTCGTTTGCGAATAGGTTTTTTTAGTAATTTTTTGACTTTTTGACTAAAATATGATGTAAAAAAATTAGTATATTTGAGATGAATTTTTAATTTTTTAGGAAAAGAAGTGCAAAAAGTAAAGAGAAAAGAGAATTTTTAACTTTTTTGTATAGGTTGTCAGCATTTTAATTTTTTTAGTAACTTTTTGACTTTTTAACTAAAAAAGTCACTTGCCAAACAAGGCCTAAGAAATTAATTATTCCTTCTATTTTTTTTTATATATCTTTTTAATAAAAAAATAAAAAATTTCTAGTAGACAAAATGGTATAGTTTGGAGCACCATGTGGCATGCGGGGGCTAATTGTTCATTAGTCGTGAAACACGTAACATTATTTATATGATCATCTAAATCAATCACTTGATAATAAATTTTAGAGTTGAGTTTATCTCATATTCATATCTCAACATGAGAAAACTTGAAGGGCTCATGTGACCCAGAACAAATATTGTTTTGATGATCTGCACCATTTATTTTATAAGGCCCTCAATATATATCACCTATAAACAAATTATGTTAATCCGATAATCGTAACATTTTTATTTTATTGTGCTTATTTATAAAAACTAGATGATCTACTTTAATATATATATATATATTTTATAACTAGGCGTCCGGTCCTTTGGACCAAAAAATTCGAAAGACTAATTCCACGATCCACTTGTGAGTGTCCCAATTACAGCCATGACCCCAAGAGATTATTTGCACTTAGGAAATTTCGAACATGAGACCTTAGAGAGAGCACACCCCCACAACACCGAAGCCTTGACCACCAAACCAATCCTTTGAGAGTGGAATTTGTTATCTATTTTTCGAAAACAAATGTGATAAAATAAAAAGTTACGATTATTGAATCAAATTAACTTTTTTTCACGGATAATATATATTAAGGTCCTACAACATAAACAGTTTGGATCATTGAAATGAAACCCATGATGAGCTTTACAGATCTCTCAAATTATCTTATGTTGAAATGTGAACATTAAATAAGCCAAATCCAAAATTTTATTAGTAAAATATGATAAATTACCTTTATTAGATAATTAAGAGACTAATAATTTTACTTAGTACGTGTTATAGTTTTTTACTTTTGTTAATGAGTGTTAAAAAATAAGATTGGCTGCAGACAATACTTACACAATTTGAAAGAGAATTTGAGAGAAAATGTAATTATTGTATTTCACTCATATTATTATCATTGCATTCTTTTATTCATCACATTCTCATTCTCATTCTCATTTTCATTCATATATTACATGAATTACATGGCTATATATAGGATCTTAACATGTAACTCACACACTCACATTATAATCTACCAACTCTATTACTTTTTGTAACCGCTAACACATTAATATTCTATCAATTAATAACTCTTAATACACCATTTTGTCATTACATGCATACCATTATTCCTTGATCATAACTAGCATAACCTTCTTCTTTTTTTTTTCTTTTTTTGTACTTCTTTTTTTTTAATTTTTTTATGTAGGACAACTAGCATAACCAAATGTTGGAAATATAACTCTTAATGATAAAATCAAGTTTGTTATTTTCA